GGAACTGCCTGAGCTATTCTATAAAAGAGACACTGTTCCTGTATTTCCAATACTAGAAAACTGATCCCTTCCCACTAAACCCTTGATAGCTGCAGAACGGAAAATCTTCACCGGCGGAAATATAAATACATTAATCTCTTTATTATGTCGCGTGAACGGATTTTAGAGCAGGTAATGCTGAATAAGATCTTGTTAAAGGCATTAGATCATTTAAAGGGGCATCCAACCAAAAATGAGCTCTTGGGTTTTGGCAGATTCCGGAGTTACACCCTCTAGCAGTCTCTTCTATACGTAGGAAAGTCTATTGGTTGTCATCTTATATTAACCACTTGACCTCCAGAGGATTTACCCCCCTTAATGACCAGGCCTCTTTTTGCTACTCGGCGCTGCACTAATTCAACTGATAATTGCGCGGGTCATGCAATGCTGCACCCAAACAAAATTTACATCCTTTTTTTCACACAAATAGAGCTTTCTTTTGGTGGTATTTGATCACCTGTGCGCTTTTTTATTTTTCACGCTATAAACAGAAAAAGACCAAAAATTTTGAAGAAAAACAATAAGTGTATATTGATTGCTTTGTGTGAAAGTTATAGCGTCTACAAACTATGGTATAGATACAGCAATTTACGCCATTTTTTTGCTATACAGCGCTGCGCTAGTTTAATGGACAATTGTGCGGTCATGCAATACGGTACATAAATGAAATTTATGTCCTTTTTTTCACACAAAATAGAGCTTTCTTTCGGTGGTATTTGATCGCCTGTACGTTTTTTATTTTTTGCGCTATAAAAAAAAAAAAGCTGACAATTTTGAGAAAAAAACAATATTTTGGACTTTTTGCTATAAAACATGTCCAGTAAAAAAAATGTAAAAATCAAATTTCATCATAAATTTCGGCCAAAATGCATTCTGCGACATGCCTTTGCTAAAAAAAAACCCCAATACGTGTAAATTAATTGGTTCTGGGTTCTGGGAGGACGTCCATGGACGTTGTAGCCGTCTTTTGGCTATAGCACAGTAGGGAACTGGTTAAAGCCGGTGCATGTGCTCTGAAGAAAACGGCATACACGGTGCTGTGGCCCAGGACTCCCCCGCGGATGCACAGGAGTGAAGTCATTGAGGCCCGGCCTGTCAGACCGCTGGAGCCCGTGAACTGGAAGAAGGACTGGGTGAAGATAGAAGCCCTGTAAGCAGTGACAGCGCACCGCTGGAGAGCTTTGTTTTAAGGTATGTTTCACACAATGTCCTAGTAAGCGATGCATACTAGCACATTATGACATTACCTTGCAGGGGACTTTTTTTTTTTCCCTGTGGTTTGCTACCACTTTAACCCCTTGGCGCCGGCACCTCCTGGCCCTTTAAGGGTTTCAGAAGCCGGGAGGCGGGGCGGGGTTTTAGGGTCATGTGACCGCCGTGATTCGCCGTCACATGATCGGGAAAGGTCCCGATCGAAAGAGGAGATCAGGACCTTTCCGTGAGTAGCGGATATGTGTGCTGGGAGCGCGCAGGGCACGCGCTCTCAGCACATATGTTTTTCTTAATTGCATACAAATGTGTGTCCACTCGGCGTCAAGGCCCAGACGCCGGGAGGCCGCACATTTCTGTGCGGCTGGCGTGAAGAGGTTAAAATACAAGAGGTTAAAAATCTCATTATAAGTGATCACATAATCATAAGTTTTCAGCTGCATAAGGGGCTTAGAGAGGTGGGGTTGGAGAAACAGCAGTACACTGATCTTCCCAGTGAATCGCTGTGCCGGGGGGGAGGAGCAGACTTGTGTCAGCACAAGTCTGATCATTGGAGGACACGCAGGCTGTTCTCCCAGCAAAGCCAGAAAACCGACCACACTGGGAGGGATGAGATCTCATGCTTAGTGTAGTCAGTTTGAAAAAGGAAAGCAGGAATGAAAGAATCACCAGTTATTTCACACAAAGGAAGCAATACAAAGAAAACAGAATAATTTCTATGGTACAACACACACATATCAGAAATATGGTTAGTAGCATACTCTTTAAGGCATAGAGCAACATATAACTAAAGTAACACTTATAAGCCAGCCAGGATCCAACTTTTACCAATCTCCTTGAATCATCATGTCCAATTTTTGGCACATTAAAGTTAAATATGAACAAAACATATCCCTCTATACTGTGCACTCAATTAAGAGCACTAAGTGTCATTTATGCCTGCTGCCTCATTCATCTGCTATCAGAATGTGTCACTACTGACAATATTTGCTGACACCAAGAGAAAAATGGTGACAGGGGAGGGAACTCCAGCAGATTGACAGCCTCAGCTCTGTTCCTGTGAGCTCTGTGGAGGGTGGGGGGTGTCTCTTCTGTCCAATCATCTCTCACAGTTCTCCTAACTAAGCTCTGCAGTGTATATTGTCAGCTCTCCCCCCCCCCCCCTTTTTTTCCTGACAGCTCAGACAAGCTTTAACACTCAGCACCTTGAATGGATGTAGAGGAAAGAAGACTGCAGATGGACAGGTACAACATAACTTATGTAGGAGGATTTATTTAATCTCTGTGTATCACCTGAGGCCAGTCACTTCACTAGGTATATGGAAGGGTTTACAGCCAATGTAACGTGTAACCTAACATTTGTGATCTTACTGCAAAAAAAAAAAAGTAAATGTGCTCTTAATGTTCTTTGTGTTTTTTCCCTTTGTGTATTGGATTATATGTATACTTGCACTTACTTTTTTTTACACTATTTATTTTTTTTAATTTGAGGAAAAAATAATGAGGCTTCTGAAGTGGTTTAAAACCCACTACACCCTTGCATATGGCCAACAATCACTTTCATTTCACCTTCCCTATTGACTGCAATGCAAAAATACTGAAATCTCCCGATTTTTACAGAGATTTCTGAGAAATAACAACTCTCAGTTTTGCTCACTCAAACTTGCACAGGCAGCAGTTCACTGTTTAAATGAAGTGAAGTGCTTCTGTGAAGTCCATCGGTTTCTGAATGAAAAAGCAGAACCAGACAAGCAAAATCAATTTCGGTTGGATCTGGCGCAGGCACACACTGGAAGACTTGAAAAGACAATCTCTCTTTTGGTGTGTGGTGTGCATGCTCCTTTCTACGTTGGATCTTTCTGCCAGAAGCTGGCAGAAAAATTAATTTTATCACATTTTCAGAAAAAATGAGAAGGTGAACTAACACCATACAGCCTCTCCTCACTGCCCCCCGTGTCCGCTTTAAACTGAGTTTTCTGGTGCCGGAGTGTTCCTCATGTATGGAGTGGGTGGGTTTGCTTCCTGATTCTTTGCTGTGTGACTTCCCGTCTCTTTCTGTTTCATCTCTTAGATTCAAATGTCCACAGCAGTCATTTTTTCATACAGATAACACAAGTACGTCATTCTCTCTTTATACTGGCCATTTTTAATGGCATGGCAGTGCCTGAAGCCAATCAGCTTCTGCTACATGCACATGTACAGAGAGAGAGAGAGAGAGAGGGGGGGGGGGGGGGGAGAGAGTGGAGCTGCCAGTTAAAGAATATGTAAACCCAACATTTCATATTCCTGATCTGCGCCTGTGTACCATGTCCTTGTATAAAAACGTATCCTGTTCTCTGCTTCTCTTGCTTCCTTTGTGTGAAATCCCTGGTGTCAGTCCCTCTGCGTTCCTATTAAAAACTGACCACACAAGGAATGACAGCTCAGCATGGTCAGTTCCCTAGCTGTGCTGGGAACTCAGCCTACTCTCCTTCAATGATCAGACTTGTGCTGACACGCTTCCCCCCCCAAGCACTGGCATTCACTGCAAAGTTTAGTGTACTGCTGTTTCTCCTCCCCAGCAATTATGCAGCTGAGAACAGAGGGTATGTGCTCACTAAGGGCTCATGTACACTGCAGCTGCTAAACTGACGTTCAGGAGCTGTTCAGCGGTTTGTTCAGCAGCCCCTGAACTCTCCCTTATGTGTTCCTATGTGTCCATGTACACTGTCGTTTACAGGCAGTTGAGTTTACAGTTGTTTTTTTGAATGCACCAAACTTGCATTCAGGAGTAGATTTTACTGGCGTTTCAAACGACAAACGCTCATAAACGCGTGTAAACGCATTTATAAGCGTTTGTGTTTAGAAGCCTTTTTTACTGTTCCATGTCCAGATGCTGTCCAGAGCCTTTTTTCATCATCAGAAATGCATGCAAAGCGTTTTCCATGTATTCAAATGGACCCGGTACACCAGCGCAGTCAGTTCCAGGTTTCACGTGAAAGAAAAAATGGTAGAAGGTGCCGCATTATGCTCATGATGGGATCCACAGTGAATACAACCAGAAAAGACAGGTCATCTCAACACATTCTGCTCTCTCTGCTTCTGCTCTCTATTCCTCTCAAAATGTCTGAAATAGTTAATTTTTTTACTATTTTTCAGTGCATTCTGGGCATTTTGGAAGGTCTCCTGAGGTTATCTTTTAAAAAAGCTTCTAAACACAAAACGCACATAAACATCGTTCAGAAGAAGTTTCCAAACGCCCCGTGTATGTTAGCCCTTATAAAACAGGGGGGAGAAAATGTATTTATATTGTTTTTTTATATCTCTAAACAACTGTTCTACCTTTCATTACTAATTTAAACTGAATGTGTTGCTTTACAAGGTGAGGGTTTACAAGCACCTTAAGCCCCGGTTCACACCGGTGCGACTTGTCATGTGACTTGACAGATCAAAGTCGCATGACTATTTGCAGCTAGAGAACCATTTAAATTGATGCGACTGTAAGTCACACCGACTTTGTAAAAGGTTCCTGCACTATTTTTTGCAATTTCATGTGCAAATTGCATTAACATCTGTGCATGAAGTCGCACAGATGCTGGCAAGCCACACAAGGTTGCAATAATCAGCGGCTTTAAAATCGTGCTGAAGTATCATGATATCAAAGCTGTATTCTGTGTGAACAGGGCTAAGTTGCAATATTGCAGCTTCCTTATTGTTCACTAAGAAGGCTGCTGGTAGGGAGGTGACAGTTTTCCTTAAAGTGTTACTAAACCCCGGACCCTGCATTCACTATATCTGGTCTCTCACAGTACACACAACATGGAAATGCAATTATTTTAGTAAATATAAACTGCTAAATACCTTTTCTCATCAGCAGTTAGAGCAGTTTTGTGACTTCTATCAGTGTTCAGCCAATCACTGGTTAAAGCTTGTAGGAGGAGTTTTCTTTCGGCTCTAGGAGGATGCAGAACCCCTGACCTCTGTCTGGGCAGTACTGATTGGCCCTGTCCTGATCACATGCACTCTCCCTAGCCATACACACCAAACTGAGCAAAATGCCTACAATTCAGTCTGTCTAATCAGGAGATAAGAGGTGGTCGCTTAAACAAAGGAAGCAACAGAGGAATCAGGATCAAACAGCCTTTTTACACACAATGCAGAGGATTAACCCCTTAGGTTGCACAGTGAGTATAACAAGCATGCTTTACTGTATATACAGACTGATTTTACTGTTGTGGGTTTAGTAACACTTTAAATCAACCAGAGATGTCACTCTCCTGACTGTGCAGTCTGGCATAGGTATATGACTAACATTGGCTTATACGTCAGTTCACATATGTGCATTCAGTTGTTTGCCTGGAGTTAAGCTCTAAAGCACAAACAATTTCATTTAAATGTGTTCCTCAATAGCCACAAAGCATTTAAATCCACTTCTTGTGTACTAAATGACTGTGCAAACTCAGTTATTACCATGTAAAAGTAGCAATAACATAAGCACTGTACTGTGGGAGGGACAGAGCAGCTCCACCCACTACAGGCTGCTTGCAGGAATCAACAGGAGGGGGAGGAGACAAGACCAGCCACTCTACACTAGGAGAGAGAGCAGCAGTGTCAGGTCTGTATTACAGGAAGCTCCTGCACAGAGGAAAAGTGTCACACTGGATTACAGCACAGAACTGGAAGTCATACACAAAGCACTCCAAGATTCAAGGAAGAATACACATGACTCTTGTATTTATACATCTCTTTATTTTATTATTTATTTCAGGAACTTATATAGCGCTGTCAATTTACGCAGTGCTTTATGTATATATTGTACATTCACATCCATGTACAATATCTAAGGTCCCTAACTCACATTCATACATACACATACTAGGGCCAATTTAGACAGGAGCCAATTAACCTACCAGCATGTCTTTGGAGTGTGGGAGGAAACTGGAAGTACCCAGAGGAAACCCACACAGGCACAGGGAGAACATGCAAACTCCAGTCAGGTAGTGCTATGGTTGGGATTTAAACCAATGACCCTAGTGCTGCCAAGTGGAAGTGCTAACCACTTAGCCACTGTGCTGCCCACCTGTTTCTCAGCTTTAAATCTCACTGGTAGCTATACGAAAATTCTCAGTACTGACTTATTGATACATGAAGCTTTCTGTATGTTGGAGACAAGAGGGGTCTGCATGGGGCGGCTTGGGAATTTCTCTCCTCCCTCACCAACAGAGGTTCTCAGATCACCACCTTAGTGACAAAATGGAATGGGGTGGACTGGGGCACTACAGCAATGTGTGGATACATACCTGCAGCTCTGGACTGATGTGCTGTGTCCCTTTCCTCTTACAATGATTGGCAACGCTCACTATGGGTGCAGTCACATTGAGTAAGGACCTCTGGAACAGAATCTAGTTCTACTATGTGCAGCTTTTCTGTGACTCTCAGAAAATGCAGCAACATTTATTTAAATGACACACAAAAAAGTTTTAATTTCCATTGCTTTGATCTGATCTCACCCACACTCTCACATGATTCACAGCCTGCGTCTACCACAGCAGAGGTGGCCCCATTGCACCCGTATCACTCCTGGTTTAGCTGAAGAAAGTGGTGATATCGTTCCCAGAGCAAATCTTGTCATTATTAAACGCTTATCTCATCACTAAGGGCCAATTCACAGCTCTGCATTTTTCCACCTGATGTGTTCTCCATTGAAATCATTGAAAGAACATTAAAATGCATTTCAACAGATGACAATGCAGGTTAACGTGTGCTGCAATGCAGTGAATTGGATTGAACTGACATTATTAAGCATCACTATAAATAGGCATGGAATATTTTTGCGTACAATAACTTTGTTTGTCTGAATATGTGAGTATTTATGTTATTATTTGCACAATGATTACACTTTTATTGATTGATATATCGCAGAAGGTTTAATGTGTTACTAAACCCAGGACCCTGCATTCACTATATCTGTTCTCACACAGTACACAGAACATGGAAATGCAATTTGTTTAGTTGATATAAATTGCTAAATACCTTTTCTCATCAGCAGTATATGATGTATATCAGTGTCCAGCCTAGAACTGGTTAATCTTGTAGGAGGAGTTTTCATTCTCCTCTCACTGTCCTATGAGGCTGCATAACCCCTGACCCTCTGGACAGTGCAGCTTGGCCCTGGGCTGATCACATGTGCTCTCTCAAGAAAAAAAAAAAAACCTCTAGCAATACACACCAAACTGAGCATGTGCAGCTTGCCCCCAAGGCTCTGTTCTATCAGCAGATGGACTGGGACAATAGAAGAAGGGGAAGATCAGAGAAGACAGGATCAAACATCTTTTTTACATGCGGTGGATTAACCCCTTTGGTTCCACAGTGATTATAACAAGCATGCTTTACTTCATATACAGACTGATTTTATTGCCATGGGTATAGTAACACTTTAAGTAAATATTTTTTAGGTAGCGCAGCACTTAAAGCAGAGTTCCAGCTGAAAAAAAAATATCTGCAGCTACAAAAACTGTAGCTGCTGACTTTTAAAATACAGCCACTTACCTGTCCCTTGGTCCAGCGGTGTCCTCACCACCGCTGGTTTCACCTTCCGTCTTCTCTCCCTGGCTCTGGTATCTTCAGTGTGGGAACCCGGCTGTGACAGTTTGCGGCTTCACAGCTGGGTGCCCACTGCGCATGCGCGAGAAGCGCTGCACTTTGTGAATGGTGCCGTAGTCTTCTGGGACCTGTCACATGTCCCAGAAGACCATGGGGAGGGAGGGGGGAGAACAAATTCTGCTTCCGATCGCCTAGGCGATCGCAGCGGAAGTTGGAGTGGGTACCTGTCAAATTCAAGGTACCCGCTCCCCAAAGGTGCCAATCCTAAATGGGGAGTGGGGGACAAAGCATTAAAGCGGAACTTCTTCTTTTGTGTGGAACTCCGCTTTAACATTACACTGTCAGCCATAAAGAATTAATGGCACCACTGCATGTCTGCAAAAGGACAGCACGCTTTTGCGCATTGTAGGAAAGCGCATGATTTTGTACATGTTCTGGCAACGCACAGGTGTGAATGAATCCTTATATATGAAGTATCATTTGCTAAAGAAATTAAAACAAAAAAACAAGTTTCTTGTGTTTTATAAAAACTAAAAAAAATTCTATGTAGTAACAACCAAAGCACAATTCTGTTCGTATTGCTGATGCGTTATTGTTACAATATGTTTTGCAAATGGTTGCTGTGTTTTTACATAACTTAAAATGCTACATAAAATTAAAAACACAGCTGTGCTTTGTATAAGTGTGATTTGGTAGAAACTAATTATTCTGATTGGTCAGGGGCTGACAAGCCTCAGTAGGATTTGCAGGTCCATCTGAACTGGACTGAGAATTCGGCTGAACAGTGGATCCGTTCACAGCGTTCAGTAAGCCGTCTCCTGTGATTGGGTGTCATCAAGCACCCCTTTAATATTCGCACATTGCATGATGACATTCTGCAGAGCTGCTAACCACAAGGTGAAGTTTCCACTCCACTGTAGGTCTACCTCGCCCACGCCCTGCCCACCAAACCCCGGCGCTTGCACTACACTGTATGACTTAACAAAGCGCACAGTGCACCACGTTAACCCTTTCAAGCCCAACTTCAGCCAGATCTTTTTATTTAGTTTTTATACAGCTGGCACGGGTTAGAGTCTCAGTGTGTGTTTTTTTTTTTTTTTTTTTGTATGGTGATGGAAATCTATCCAACAGAGACCAAATCTAAAACATATTTTAGTTGCGTTAGGACAATGGCCTTAAAGTAGAAGAAAAGACACAATAAAAAATCCCGAGGACTAGTGGGTTTCTAGAGGAGTTTTTTAGTTATACACAGCGCTGAGCATACCCTTTGGCGCTATATAAATACTGTATAATAATAATAAACCCACTTTGAGAGCATAAAATACTCCTAAGCCCTCATGCACACTGGACGCTGGTAACATTAGCTGTGTAAAGTCACGTTAAAAATGTGAGTTTTTCAGCTTTTTTTTAGCATTTTTGCATTAGCGTTTCATTGCGTTTTGCCACGTTTATCGGTGTTTTCCCGCATTTTTCAACGTTTGCGGTTTTAAGTGTTTTTTTTACCAAAATATTTTTTTTTGCTCAAATAAAGTCCAAAAACGCCGGTTTGCAGTGTTTTACCATGTTTTTCCATGTTGTTCAGCGTTTTCCAGCGTTACAGCGTTTTTATATCAAAAAAACTCCTCTAGAAACCCACTAGTTCTGGGGTTTTTTTTCCAGCCAAAAAATGCCCCTACCAAAAAATGTTGATTACAGTGTATGTGTGTATGGACACATAGGATAACATGCTGGGCAGTTTACTGGCTGTAGAAAAAAAATGTCAAAATCCAAAGCAGCAGCTGTAAAAATGTTGTGTGCATGAGGACAAAAAGTTGCCACCCCATTGATTCCACCATTTTTTCTAAATTTTCTGTACAGTCAAGTGACCACAAATCTCCAGCCAACAACAGGGCTAAATCACAGTCAGCACTTCCCGCCCACCAGCAGTAGAAGCTGCGCATTTACACAGAGGAGCTGAAGCTTTGTGTTCACACGGGTAAACTTGAAATAAAAAGGTATTACATTGCAATTTACACTAAAATACACGTGGGGCAATGTGGATGCAACATTTTAAAGTCATTAATATACAGAATTTATAATGTGCCAACAATTTTCGCAGCGCTTTACAATCTAAAAGAAGACAGTACAGTTACAATATGATACAAGAGGGTTAGGAAGACCTTGTTCATGGGAGCTTACAATCTAATAGGTTTATGGTTTGACTTTTCCTACGTAAGTAAAAAAACTTTATACGAGAAAAGGGATATTTTAGCCACCATGTGACTGTCATTTGTAAATCTCATTGAACTGAACTGAAAATAACTGTCACTCTTTGGAACCTAAGGATACTTATGCTGTTGTGATAGCTTTGAGAATTGATTATCTGGTTGCTGTCTGCACCTTTCTGTCCCTGTGACAACTGCAGCAACTAGGACAGAAAGCTACAGACAGCAATCCGACTATAAACTTAATTCACAAAGCTATCACACTAGCATAAGTGACGGTTATTTTCAGCCCAATAATTGGGTCAATGAACGAAATAACAACCTACAATTGGTCAGTAGTCCATACTGCATTGAATCCAACCCAAAATGACTCGTGATCAGGTCCACCGGTGACCACCCATCAACAAGATATGCCACTATAGTTGCTCCTGGCTCCTCCTCCTCAAGAAAAACATCAATAAAAAACATAAATAAATAAAAAAAGTTGTGTGCAGTAAATACTTGTTTTCCAGCTTTGGTCCTGTGACATCACAGGTCTTCTTCATCATCTGGCAGTGAGCAGATCCTAATTGCTGCAGAAAGTGATGACATGTAAAAATGCAGCACTCTCCTGTAAGTCCAGGTAGGTAGGCGGAGTCATGACACCCAGATCTCACAGGAAATTGGTCGACTGATTCAGGATGTCACAACCCAAAAGAGAACTAGCACTGGATCAGTAAATACATGGGACAACACTGGAAATTGGGTGAGTAAAGCATCCAGAGCTGTTTTTTTTGTAACTCCTGCTGGCCCATGAGATTTCTTATTCTTTGCCCAAGCTGGAACTGGGATTTAGGGAGTCATAAGCTCATGAACTGAAGAAAAAAAACCTGCCATCAAGGTAGCACTAGCGCTGACATCAATCTCAAAATGCTTGCTGCCTGGCTGATCTTGGCTTTAGTACTTTCTGCATCACTGACCTGAGGCATGCATGCAGTACCTGAAACCAGGTCAGAATACCTGATCAGCACACAGAAAGGAGGAAGAAAAGCATTAGTGAAAGATCTTATAGCCCCCTACTCCCAAAATCCTCACACATTGCTGTAGGTTGAGTGGTGCAGAGGCAGCAAAAGGTGACAACACAGCAGTGATTGTGCTGCAGAAGAAACAGCATTGTAACCCTCAAAAATGAAGGGGAAATTAAACTAATTCACAGGAGGATTACCAAATATTGAACCTATCTAATCAGGGGAAATCTGGTAGACCACATGCTCAATTACTGTTTTGCACTGACTGAAGCATGTATGTGTTTTTTGTTTTGACCATAGTTCTACTATAAAGTCCACCTTTGCCGAGATTATTAACAATAAACTATATAAATATATACTTGACAAGCGGTAAAATGGCTTTAAAACAAGCTGTCACTGACCTCTATAGCTGCATGTGCTGTGACGTAATTCATTCTCAAGGATCCTAACAAAGTCAGTTTGTAACAGCTCAGAAACACCTGCTGTGTGTTTACGCTGAAGGGCTTGTGGTAGCATAAGAGGGTGGAATCTTCTAGGATATGCTAGCACAGTAGACTAAGTCACTCGGCTGCACATGAGGTGCCTTTACTGTGCCATGCTCATCATTGACCCGGGACAAAGCTGGGACTGCTTTCAGGGACAACTCAACCTTAAAGTTATACTAAAGGCTTAAATTAAAGCAAAAAAACAAACATGCCTATACTTACCTGCTCTGTGTAATGATTTTGCACAGAGCAGCCCGGATTCTTATTTTCTCTGGTCCCCTGCCAGTGCTCTTGGCCCCTCCCTCCTGTAGGGTGCCCCCACAGCAAGCAGCTTGCTATGGGGGCACCCAATCAGGCTCATTCCCAGGCTGCTGCTCCATGTGTCCATTCACACACGCTGCAACAGCTTGGCTCCACCCCCTCTCTCTTCTCATTGGCTCCCTGGCTGTGACTGAGAGCAGTGGGAGCCAATGGCTCCCACTGTTTTCTCAGCCATTGAGGAGAGAGAGTCCCGGGATAGCTGAGACTCCAGTGCACATCGCTGGATCGAGAAGGGGCTTATATAAGTATTGGGGGGGGCTACACAAAAAAAATTTTTACCTTCATACATAGAACCTTGAGGCTTTATAACCACTTAAAGTCAGACCTCCGGCTTAGCGAAGGCCATACACCATGTACACTTGACCAAATACACTGGACTCCAGTTACTAAACCCAGGACCCTGCATTCACTATATCTGGTCTCCCACAGTAGACACAAAATGGAAGTGCAATTATTGTAGTAAATATAAACTGCTAAATATCTTTTCTCATCAGCAGTATATAGCAGTCTTCTGACTTCTATCAGTGTCCAGCAGAGCATTGGTCAAAGCTTGTAGGAAGAGTTTTCATTCTCCTCTGATTGTCCTATGAGACTGCATAACCCCTGACCCTTTGTCTGGACAGCGCTGATTGGCCCTGTGCTGATCATATGCACCCTCCCAAAGAAAAAAAAAGTCTCTAGCCATACAGACTAAACTGAGCATGTGCAGAGTGACTCCTAGAGCTATCAGAAGATGGATTGGAGACAGCAGATGAAGGGGAGGATCAGAGAAGTCAGGATCAAGCAACATGTTTACATAATGCAGAGGATTAACCCCTTAGGTTCCACAGTGAGTTCAACAAGCATGCTTTACTGCACATACAGACTGATTTTACTGTTATAGGTTTAGTAACACTTTAACTCCCTGTTTTCTCTCTCCCATCAACAGAATGGGGTCCCGCCATACACCTAGAGCAGACTTCCTGTTTGCACTTTATTAACTCTTCCTCTTCCTGTACCTAGTGGCCAGGCTGAGAGCCTCTGAGGTTACTATGGGAGACCAACCACTAGAGAGTGCAGACAACAACTCCTTCACTGCTAGAGGATATCCCACCTGTCTGAGATACACTCTTCAAAACAGGTTGTTCTGGTTGCTTGACTTCCGTTACCTCTGGTAACCATCTGCTTGCTTGTACCCTATACCATGCTGACTCTTCATACCCAAATGTGCTTTACTACAGACTGCAGACTACGTGTATGTAGTGTGCCTGATACTTTCATACATCTCTTTGAATAACTTTGGACCAGACATGGCAAAGTTTCAATGCTTTACTTAGGAAACTTCAGCACAACAGGCAAACAGTCTTTCCCTCTCTAACACCCTACGACTTTGGCTGCCCCAGCATACCTGCATAGAAAGAGTCCATACATAACAAAGTCTTTAATGCTGGTGTCTTCAGGGCAGACTACAGGTCCCAGCAGTCCTCCTACATGGTGGTGGTTGCAGGGCTAATTTGTGTCCTAGGTAAGACCAGCTACAGTACTTGTGCAAAAAAAAAAAAAATTAAAACAGCAGAAAATATTAAATCAACAAAACATGAAACTGCCATAAATCTTTTAATTTGCAAAAATAAGTTCCATAAGATGCCACCAGCATCAATAATAAAGACAAAATCAGTATCATGGATGGACTGTATCTGTGGCTGGCAGTGGCAGGGTGACAGTTGCAGTGAGTGGAGGATGATAGATCCACACTCTGACAGTTCTCAGGCTGGAATTGCCGAGGAAATGGGGGGAGATAAAATTTTCTGGTAGCAGGTAGCCCAGCCCCCACACACACAGAGAACACCTGAACTGAGCAATCCCACACAGTGACAGATCCAACACAATACACTACCACCAACACTGACACAGATCAGCAGGCCCAGCAGGCACTAGAAGAGCAGGTTGTGGGATCGCGATGATATCATAACTCACTGACACATTGCACATGTGATGAATGGTCGGCTGGGTCACACTCACACCTGAGACATCAGAGTCCAGTATTACCTTCCTCCGCAGGAACAGCTCCGCCTCCGCTGATGAATGAGAAGAGAAGGGCAGGAACTCAACAGTGATCAGCAGCCACCAGCCGGCTTACAGTAAGAGACTGAGTCTGAGAGAAAACACTGGAAGGAGCAGCAGCTCAGCTGCTACACTGGCCGCAGACACCATCATCATATGTCCTTTCTTCCTCCCCTCTGCGCCCCTCCTCTCAGCTGAAGGATCAATCATGACGTGGCGGCGTCCCCCACAGGAAGAGTGCTGGCCCGTGCTGTGTCCAGGCGCCCCTAGGTGGCATTGCGCCATAGGTGGCTGCCTAGTTTGCCTAGTAGAAGCACCGGCCCTGGGTAGTTGCATTGTTCAGCAGAAGGTGTCCCAGAGGGAGAGCGCCCTGGCAGAAACAGCTCTCTGTAAGCAGTTGTAGATTGCATCTTGGAGATCTGTTTGCGTCCTCTTCCCATGCAGCAAACTCTGTCTGGGCAGAGCCCTCCCCCCTTTTATTAACAGAACAGGGAGAGAGGCAGCTCAGAAAAGTACGGGAACATGCATTACCTCTTCCCTCCCAACTAGGGCAGCCAGATATCTAGCTGACAGTAGGCAACCTGCCTAAAGGCTGCTAATATTCTGTTCTCCTACGGGTCTGCATTCTTCTGTGCGGTTGGTGCAGCTGCACGGATTTTTGAGCGGATCCGCAGCGGCACCACCCGCACACATGTGAACCTAGCCTTATTGTGCATAGTCTGGGCACAAGTTCACTTTAAAGGATAACCATGAAAAAGTTCCCTGTAAGAAAGTGATCACAACGAAGAGCATTGGAGTGGCCAGCTGAATCTTGTACTCTACATGTACTGAACATATTGTACTTCCCATACTAAACACAAAGCATTGATGGGATCCAGGGACTGATGTGCCTCAGAAAGGGATGGCCACTTCTCAGACTTTCCGTTGTGTGAGAACAGGTTAGTGTGATTACATGCAGATTGGAAAAGGCACAGAACACAGAAGGATGCAAATGCCAAGCACCTCCACACACATCTCCTTGAAAGGAAATACCAATTCCTAAAAAAGTACAATCTAGGTACGTAGGGGTTTTTTCTCTTCTCTCAAAGATATCAGATTTTTCTGAGACCCTTTCAGTAACACCATGCCTGGAGTTGTACTGACCACACACATCTGTATCTCTGTTCATTCTATTTTAAAAACCAGCTTCAGTGTATCTAAAGCCAGAACTTTTTTTTTTTTTTTAGCTTTGGATAGGATAAGGAATATTTAATGCTGAACTCCAAGCATGAAAACTTTCATTTAAATATATTCCTTAATAAGTACAAAGGATGCAGATTCACTTTGTGTTCACCAAATGCCTTTGCAAACTCAGTTATTTCTTTGTAAAAGTAGCAGTGACATGACATGATCACCGGGCTCTACATAGCCTGTGCAGAAAGCAGAGCTGAAATAAATTTATTTCTATTTAAAGCGGAGTTCCACTCACCCTGTCAAAAAATAAAAGTCAGCAGCTACAAAAACTAGCTGCTGACTTTTAAAAAACAGCCACTTACCTGTGCCTCGGTCCCGTGGTGTGTCCCCCGCAGCCCGTTTCACCAGGAGGCCGGCATCTTCAGTGTGGGCACCCGGCTGTGCAGCTTCGGCTTCACAGCTGGGTACCCACTTCGCACGCGCGAGAAGCACTGCGCTTCTTGAATGGGACCTCTCACGTGTCCCAAAAGACCACCCTTTTGGGTGGAGCTCCGCTTTAATTCCCATCCCTAATAAACTACTTCACCCTTCTCCCTCAGCTAATATTTTTCTACTTATTTTTTTTTATTTCTATTTTTTTACCTTTAATATTTAAACTTTTTTTCCTTTTATTCAAAATTTTGATTAACATTTTTGAATGAGCAAACTTTGAAAAACACACTTTTTTCTTTTGCAAATAACTTTGCCATGCTTGGTACCAAAAACATAATTTTAGCACTATTTTACCCTGGGATTACAGTTAGCCTTGGTTCACACTGGTGTGATTTGTAATGTGATTTGACAGTTCCAAACAAGTCGCACCCTGTTTGTGCCTATGGAACCATTCAAATTGGTGCAACTCCGGCAAGGGTGGACTGACAACTCATGGGGCCCCCGGGCAATAGGGGATCATGGGGCCCCTGTGTCCTTGCCCAAACTCAAAAAAAGCCTATGAAAAAGGTACCAGGGGCATCTCTTGGGGCCCCCTACTGACTCCAGGCCCTCGGGCAGTGCCTGAGTTTCCAAATGGTCAGTCCGCCCCTGAACTCCGGCTTTGGGGTGTGGCACCGATTTTGAAAAAGGTTCCTGCACTATTTTTGGCGATTTCATGTGCGACTTGCATAGACATCTGTGCATGCACAGATATCAGGCAAGCCACACATGAAATTATACTGACCAGCAGCTTTGAAATCGCACTACTTCAAGTGAAGTAGCACAATTCCAAAAACGAATCCAGTGTGAACCAGGGCTAATGTGGATTTCAGTGTTTTTTTCCAGTTTGCAGAAATGCACCACAGTCTATTTAACATGATTTCCTATGGATCTAGTTCACATCTGAGCGTTTTGCGCTGGTGCGTTCTTTGGAAAGGGTCAGGGACTTTTTTCCCCACAGCAAATTGCATTTTGCGTGTAATTTACTTCAATGGACCTGCACCAAAAATGCAAATGTTGCGTTTTGTACAAGTTTTTGATGCATTTTGTGTTGTTTTTTTTTTTTGCTAATAGAAAAGTATGACAGTTCTGTTCATGCAGTGCAACTTTGATGCGACTTTGATGCAACTCTCTAGCACTCAAGTACCATCAAAGTAGCATTAAAGTTGCATCAAAGTAGTGCAGGAACCTTTATGTGACCAAAGTCGCATGTTAGGGTTAATAACTTGGGTCAGGGTTAAAGTATTACTAAAGCCAGGACCCTGTATTCACTATATCTGGTCTTCCACAGCACATAGAACATGGAAATGCAATTATTTTAGTAAATATAAACTGCTAAATACCTTTTCTCATCAGCAGTTAGAGCGGTCTTGTGACTTCTAGCAGTCTCCAACAGAGCACTAGTTAACGCTTGTAGAAGTTTTCATTCTCCCCTGATTGTCCTATGAGGCTGCAGGACCCCTGACCCTCTGTCTGGACAGCGCTGATTGGCCCTGTGCTGATCGCATGCACTCTCCCAAGAGAAAAAAAAAAATCTAGCAATGCACACCAAACTGAGCATATGCAGCTAGCCCCCAAGGCTCTGTTCTATCAAGAGATGAGTGGAGGACAATAGAAGAAGGGGAGGATAAGAGAAGCCAGGATCAAACATCCTTTTTACGCAATGCGGAGGATTAACCCCTTAGGTTCCACAGTGAGTATAACAAGCATGCTTTACTGCATATAGACACTGATTTTACCATTGTAGGTTTAGTAACACTTTTAGGGCAAGGGTAGGGTTAATGACTAGGTTTAGGGTTAAACGTTAGGGTTAGAGGTAATTGTTAGGGTTGCAACGTTCACCCTAACAATTACCGCTAACTCTAACCTAAACCTAACTCTTATCCTTTA